CGCGGACAACAAATTAGATAAGATGAAGTGATATGTAGTAAAATTGTGTACACATATATATTTAAATGTTTGCATGACATGCCTATATAATAATATCACATGAACACATATTCCCCAAACTTCTAAATTATAAACGCCAATATTGAGTTATTATAATTACGCATCTCTCTTTTTCTTCCTGCAACTCCTTCCTCTTCTCATCCAAAATATCTTTGTGAGATGGTTCTGCAAAACAATGGAGGAATGTTTAGGTATAAATTCTCGGTAACCAGGGACATATATACACGAGTGCAACGAATAAAAAAGTTTCGCATAAATGTATAAATTACTTGTAGCGGGTTTCTGAATAGCCAGAGGAAGAATTGCCAGCATTTATATTGTGTTGTGTGATGGAGTCGCTACTACAATGGCTGGTACGATACTCTCAGATACCATGTCAATGTCTGATTTTGATGTTGTGGGTTTGTGTATAGACGTTATCACAATAGAGGGTACTATTCTCTTCGAAGTACATGCTACCGCTGCAGCATTCGTAGTGATGGGATCTGTTGAGACAACAAAATGAAAATATATGTATATACTTATGATGGAATTAACATTTTGAGTTCAATGTAAAATTTAGGAAAAAAGATATTTTCAATGGAATTTATTATTTTGAGGATTTATCATGCGCATATCCTCCTAAAATGAGCTCTATGCCAATTACATAACGTAAAAGCCTATCAATAAAAATCACAAGTATGTACTATAAAAAAGAAAAACAAATTACAACTAGTAAAATTGACTACAGTGATATTTTTTGCAAGACTGAATGACGGATTGAGAAGGGTATGCAATTCCAAATGTTTGAATCTGAATATTGTAATGCACGTTCAACGTGTGATTTAGTCTTGGTGCGTGGTTTCATTAATACACGATCGTCTGATAACGAACGCAATTGTCTACCGCGATGGTGATTATGTAGAAGATCTGACAGGTATCGTGGACCAGTGTTACTTATTGATAAGTAGCACAAATTTGAAATTTTATACTCAATACGTCTGTTAACAAAAGTGGTGAAATGTGAGAAGATAAAACTTGCTTGCAGACAAGACGAGCTGCTGAATTCTGAACTCGAAGTTTCTTTATCAAATAATCAGGGCCTCTGACTAATAAGCTATTGCAATAGTCAAGACGAGACAATATGAGAACGAGTTTGTGCTGCTTTTGGTGTAAGATAGTGGCAAATAGAAGAAATACGTCTTAGTTGAATATAGCATGATTTGCATATATTATGTACTTGCTGTGACATATTGATATTGCAATCAAGTGTGACACCAAGACTGCGGACTGAAGACAAGAAAGAGATAACAGACTTGCCAATGGACATCGTCCATCTAGTGAAGATCTAGATGCTACTTTTGATGAGCATACAAGCCTCGGTTTATGAGTCATTAAGTTTGCAATCTGTTCTGTGTCATTCAATTTTTGATTTGCAATTCTGGTCATCAAACGCTTCGGTCCTCGATGGATGACCGGACCAAATTGAACTTAAGATTTTTAACAAGAAGCAATTTTTTCTTCCATTCTCATAGACATTAACACTGGAATGTAATCATGGGTCTTGGGAATTTTGCATGGTTTTATAATCCACCTGCCCGACTTTTTACAGAACTGTCGGTGTTGACTGAAAAGAAAAACAAAACAAAAATGCCAATTTTAATACAATTGGTTGTGGAAAATTAACATTGTCCCTGTACTGATACATGTATCTCTCAGTCAACTAGCTTGGCATGAGCAATCAGTAAAAATAAATTTCATATAAAACACCCAAAATGTCTTCAGCGTGAATTAATTCCAGCTAGAATACAGTATATTATATTAACCATGTGATTTACATCCCGTTTAGTCTATTCACCTTATTAAAAGCAACAAATAATGAAAAAAATATATGTAAAATAATATTACAAGAAGGCAAATCTTTTAGCAGCATATACTATCACTTGATCTTGGAAGTTTTCTAGCTCTGCAGTCGTTCTATAGAATCGACAACGGTAAACAATTTACAGGAACTGATAAAATATACTAGCGTATATTTGCAACACAAATTAGTCAATATGTGCAACTGTGTTACAGTGTGTGGATAATAAAAATCACAATCATTCAATGTACCACAACAATAACAAATAATAAAATTACTCTGCTCACCTGAAATTTACATAATAAGGTACTTTTCTCAGAAGGTGCTTATCAAACACAATCTTCCGAAGAGCTCTGTGTGGTTTGCTATCAGGTTCAAGAGGGTCGTCAGTAATTTGTACAAAGATTTATTTTTTGTAAGCGTATAAAGCATTTCCCACATTGAATTCGTACGCTATTTCACACAAATTATCAAATATATTATACAAAATTAATAAAAAATTGCTTTATCTGTAAAGTGTAAAAACTTATTTGTTACTGTAAATGGAACTTTCATTTTATTTCCTGTAAAAACGTAAAATGCCTTTTTTTATTTCTTGTAACCTGTACCAGCTATTCCGCCCTGCCTTGCCTCTCTTACGCGAGTTGATCGCGGCGACCAGCTACGGCAGAAGGAATATATTTTGTATCTAACGAAGAGTCGCCGGCGGTAATTAGTGCAAGTCGCGCCCAGGTAAAACACAAACGCATTGCTTAGATCATTTTACTGGAAAAAAAGACATTAGGCCAGGGGGACTGTCGCTCAAATTATCTCGACATAGGAGAAAGAAGTTCGCCATGTCCATCTTTCATGGTAGCCAAGACTAACATGACGACGTCTGAAAATTACTGTATATGTCAATTAACATTAATAATTTTGAAAACCAAAACAAAGGAAATAATACATTAAATGACTTTTCCCTGGTCGTGACTAATTTATATTCAAATTAGTACTAATCCTTTATAATGTTATAAATTGCTTGATCTTTCGATATAAAAATACGTATATTAAAATATGTATTTTAGGTATGGTATTGGTCAATTAGAGAAATGTGTTTGAAACAATGAGTCCATTACATGAAAGTTACTACTTTATATATGTTTGAACATCCAAATAAATAAATTGTTTTCTATTTATTTATTTATTGATTTATTTCATTCAAATAAAACGGCAATACTATGAATGACTATGGTGGTATGTTTTAATTGTACACGTGTCACAGTCTATTAACAACAATTAATTTAACACACTATAGATAATTAAATATACACAAGAAAGAATTGTTTGACAAATATAAAATGGGCACAATGTATTTGTAGTACATAAACAGCAAGTATACCACAGTTGTTATCTTTGCGCATTTTATGCGTTTCCTCTGTCCCGTTTTTTTTGGCAGTTTTTGGAATGGTTAGACGGCCATCTGTGGATATAACTGTCTTTTCCTTTCCTGGTTTACCTTTCAGAAATTTCTGAAATAATTGTTCCTTTTTTTCTTCGGTTTTTTGAATCCAATGTACATCTTGTACTCTGAACTTCGCCATCCATGGAGCTAACTCGTAATTTCCACGATCGTGCAACGCACGTCGGCAATCTATGCGTTGCAATTTCACTATTGCATGAAGTCTTTCAATTAATTCTGCGCCTTCAATTTTTGCCAGTTGGTCGACAGTTTTATAATGTGGTTCATAGATTCGCAAGAATTGTTTTTTCCAATCAATCGGTATCCATTTGTTAGTCCTGTCGTGGTTGAAACACACCGGTGCGAACTTTTTGCGCAATTTTGATAAAATGTTGTCCGAAAGCTGGCAAGGATAATGTGTAACGATCCGAAAGTTCAATATCATACTCATTGTTGCAGGATACCAGGCCGTTCTTTCTAAATATATCCGATATCACGCTCTTCTGTGTTTTCGAATCGGCTCTCATCTTGTTGGTTAAATATCTGCGCGTGTTGTCTTCAAGATGTCTTGTACATAGTACTTGCGATGGTGATGGAAAACACGCTTTAATGGCCTTCGTGAGAGCTGCTTCTTCATCAGCAACTATTCTTGATATCTGAGTACCAATAATGTCTTCTGATAACTTAGTCTGAATGTGTGAACAAAATCGTTGGTATGTCGCGTATTGTCCGTCATAGTGAAAACATATTGCAGCTAGCATGATTGGTGAATGTCATGTTCCTTTACGAATTATATTATTGTGATGGTATACTAATGTCGTTGCATAAGATGGACCAACATTAAATGTTCTGTCGATGCCAAGAACGCTCGGATGTTTAGAATTTGGGGTACAAAACCGCTGAATGTCCTTCAAACTGTTAGGTAGGTATAGAACAGCACATGCTGGGCTCCCTTTCTTTTGCACAATTTCTTGGACAAATGGGTGGTCGTGGATTTGTGAGAAATGTGTTAGCATATTATCAGCGCGATTCTTTCTATGGTGTCTTGGCTCAGCTCTAGTTTTTTTGTCGGCGATGTATTTTGCGTTCCGGACTTGCTTCAAATCCCTGGGAGCACACAATGAGCCGTCTAACGTCTTGTTCATAATGTCGTAGACTTCACGAGGCGTCTTTGTTTTGACCATATCATCAATTTTTCGTTTGACGTTTCGTGATGTTCTCACGTAGCGAGCAGAGGTAATTTTGGCATTGCCATGGGGTACAGTGTTCGGTTGATAATGTCCAATGTATTCCACAACTGCTGTTTTCTTCAAGTTCAGCATGGCATCAGGACACTCCTATACATACGATACTCTTTTTCTGAACGATGGGTCTCGTTTTAATGATATATAATATCGTTTAAATGATATAATATTGTCGATAGGCTGAGGGTCCACCGGAACTCGTTTTCCTTTGACATCTTTGACATATTGTCCGTCTTTTTTTCTACATATATTAATTTTTTCTCTGATATAATATAGTGGTGTGTTTTGCATGATGCCTTTCCTGACCAAGTACCACAGTAGTCTACATAAAAAGCGTTTATCCGTTTGACTGACGATCGGCGTTCTCTTGGTTGTCGATTACAAATAAAACGTTCTCTTTTATGCCTGTGGTATTGATTTACCACATATTTGTTCGGTTTGCATTAATCGCACATTCTGGGCTCACAAATTTCTCTTGGTTGATCCTGGTGGCGCCTGGAACACGTACACGCTCTGGTGACAAATTACTTGATGAACTTGATGACTGGCTGACTGACAAACTTGGAGATATGTTGAATGTATCTGGCTGGCTGGTCGATGAACTTGACATGAATGAGCGGTCCAATGACTGGCTGGTTGATGAACTTGCTATTGGTGAATAAGTGCATGACTGGTTGGTAGACGAACGTGAACTTGATGAATGATTTAGTAACTGGCTGGTTGGTGAATAAGTAGGAGACTGGTTGGCAGATGAACTCGAACTTGGTGAATGATTTAGTGACCGGCTTGCTGGTGAACCTATGATTGGTGAATAATTCAGGGATACTGTTGACTGGTTGAGTGGCTTGCTGGTGGCTGGTAAATTATACGTCTTATTCATGTCCAATCTCTCCTGAAAATAGGAAATAAAGCATAAGTTATAACGTAAATTTGAATGACAATCACAGTGATGGTGACAAAAATGCATGTCAATACATGTCCCTCACATCCCTTTCAATTGTGGTCGGCGCTACTTGCATAATTGTCCAATTTAAAATTGAAATACACATGTCACTGGCTAATTAACATTATAAAATTGTATTATTCTTATCTGCCTCTTTGGAGTGGATGATTTGGTGACATCCGCGTATGATGGCCGAGTTGGACAACAAACAGTAGATAAATGTACCGTATCGGGCTTCTTTGATTGCAATAATGGTACAAAATGGTTTGGTGCCCATATCCGTCCAGGTTCAGGCTTCTCTTTTAGGAATGAATGTTCTGTTCAAATAGTCCGTTCATTGGTGGGTAGACGGATGTGATCGGTGTCTTCAAGACTGACTGCAGCGTCGATTATCCATGCCGACGAATATCTGCCATCCACAGCACAGTCACGTGCTGCATCAACGTAGTCAGGGGACACAAATCTAATTCCGGTATAATTCTTGTGTTTCTTTATATATACATCTTTGTTGGTCACCATCTCTATACAAGTCTGCACTCTCAACTCTTCTGCGAGCGATTCATTTCCAATTATTGCCACAGACAGAGAATTGAAAAAAACAATTCCCATCTCCGGACACCGTAGCTGGCATACGTCATAAACTCCACCACTGTGGGTACAAGATATACACAAGTAATCTTCAGATAGATTTTCTAGAGCTTTCAGGCTAGTCGATGATGTTCACATCTTGCATGGTACCAACATCTGCATCCATCACAAAAATTGAATCCATCATTGCACTAAAGACCACAGGTACCGCAAGGCCACGTGAAGATTTTCTGACCATAGTGACAGGCGGCAGGAAATACAGTAGGATACGTAATAGGATAATCGGTATGATAGCGAGGTGATATCACTAGCTGATCAAATTGATATGACTCTCTTTCGTGGAATGTACTCCTTTTATAGATTGCCAAGCTGTGATTGGTTGG